TGGATAGACCTGGTATATCTCAGCTATAAGTTGGATTTCATTGGGGCGCTTTTAAGCACTTTGGTTTCGAAACAACCCAATAATAGGCTGGAGATGACAGGTGATGAATCGAAACTCATTGGAGCACCTTCTATTTGTCTATAAAGCCTGTTATTGAAGCTGAAATGTGTGTTTCTTAAGCAGTAGTCTGAGAATTCAATAACACGGACTGAAATTTCCTGTTTCATGACTATCTGGTCTGGTTCTCCATTTATAAGTATGTTAGAGTACAAAGATATCATGACAGACTGGAAAATCGTTCGTGTCCAATGTAACGTTTTTTTATGGGGCTGATGAAATGCTCTGAGTTCTTAATATATGATTGCAAATGCTGTGTTAGTGGTTGCAATATTCTGGCCAGTTATCTTTCACGTGGTTGTAGTGAAGATCCAGTTGAGTTGACGGTGATGGGTCTTAGAGGTGATTTTTGTTTGTGGATCTTTGGTAATTCATATAATTTGGGATATTGGCTGCACTTTTTTCTAAGTATAATTTTTTTCTCGGTTTCGGCGTCTTCTGATGACACCTTTATTTTTGTTTTGGTAGTTTTCTATAAATAGGTTGTATGATAGTGAGTGATTTTTTTTTCTAGTGATATATACTGGCGATCTTTTTGCATCTTCGATGTCGACATTATGACCTGTATCTATGTGGTGTTTGCATAGGGCTGAGGCGAATACTGACATCACTGTATTATAGACAAACAAAGAAGAATGGAAAGGGATGAGATGTATGTATAAATAAATCATTCGAAACCCTATGATCTATTTGAAGAAAACCATCAAAACAAAAATGAAAGATTCACTAATATACGCCAAAACCCAGAAATAGATTATACCTAGAGAGGAGTCCAGTTGATTTTCCAAGTCACATGGATTACCAAAGATCTACAAACAAAACACACCTCTGAGAACCATCGTTAGCGCAACTGGATCCTCACTACAGCCACTTGATAGATACCTGGCCTGCTTAATGCAGTCACTAATATGACATTCATAATCATATGTCAAGAGCTCAGAGAATTTTATCAGCCCCATAAAAAACGATACATTGGTCATAAACCATATATGTGCCCGTTCGGACAAAATATCTTTGTACCCAACGTGCCAATGAATGAAGTACTAAAGTAAATATACATGACAAGGACCTATTAGCTCGCGTTTTGGAACTCTCAAACCACTGCCATTTTCATCACTTGACTTCATGAACATAAAGAACTTGACTGTTTCGTGGCACACCTCCCTCCACGAGAAAATCCAGTTCACCACAGAAATAGAAATAAAAGAGTTACTTCTTCTTGATGTACTAGTCAGAAGGAAACCCTTCGGAGGAATTCGGCACATAGTCTATAGGAAACCAAGCGGCACCCCACATTCTTATATCCAGATATGAACGACTAACATGAAAGTTGTTCAAAAAAACTATTCTCACATTATTTACTCTCAAAAAATTGTCATTCTTATGTTGAATTTGGTCAAAATTGAAATTTTCATATAATATATCCTCATATAGCACAGGTATATAACTGCTTTATCTATTATTATCATGTCATGTCATTTTTCCTATTACAGCCCTGGATAAAGCTAATAAATATCAGCGAACGCTTGGACAGTTGAAAAGTGTATCATCCACTTTTTAAATATCTGTTTAATCTGTTTAAAATCTGTTTTTCCGTTAATCAGCTGTCGCCCTCATACGAACGACAACTCTCAGAAGTTGAGAAACTTGTGCGAGCTAAGGACTAACGAGGTCTTACCTTGTAACGTGTGATTCCTAACATTCCATTCCTAGGAATGGAAATTGAAACCAATAACTCTCTTTCATTCTAAAATGTTCTCATCACAAAAGCCACCAACTCCACAACAAACCACAAGAGCTAGCTCAATTAAAATCCTTCTTTAAAATAGATTCATTGATCATCAAATTAACAGATCCATCCACCGTCAACAAAATTCTCTCACAGAGATCCAAAAGACAACAAAGCTTTCCTTCCCTACATTGAATGTATTACTGACAAAATTGGCTGATTTCTCGAAAAACGATATTCGCCGCCAACAATCAAATTTCTACATTCTTCTGTTCCCCTAAGGACAGAGTTGTCAATGAATCCCAGGATATATATGAACTTCTATATAACGATTGCCAGAGAACATATGTAGGCCAGACCAACAGATGTGTGACAAGTAGAGTATACGAACATCAACTTGCTGTCCGAAAGTTAGATCCATCCTCAGTCTTGTCCAAACATCAACAAGAGACAGGACACAACATAGACGTCGCGAACACTAAGACCATCGCTACAGCGAAAACACTACAAGGTCGGATAATTCGCGAGGCCATCGAAATCGAGAAGTGACCTTCATGCCTTAACAAACGTGAAGACTTTCAACTACCTGGAAACCCCTACATTTTTATCTGACATATTTTCATTGATTGTTGTTGGAAATTTCATTATATGAATAATTTCTGTACCATTAACTCCCACCCGCATATTTAAAATATATCCAACCATTTCCTGAATTATTCACGAACATGAATTAGTTTTCTTCAAAAATCAGGCATAATATTTCTGTATCGGCCCCAAATACTCTGCAAAATTGAAAGTTCCGTAGTTCATTTTTAAATACTTTCTTAAATACGTATTTATATCCTTTTCGACAAAATAAATTTCTGGCTATAGGCTCGATTTCTGAAAATCATAATTAAGAAAAGAAAGAGAGAAAATGAAACTGTCGAATATCAATTCACTTACCAAGGCGTGTTGCATGTTGAGGTGAGTGTCAAGTACCTCACTCCGACGTGATAGAGGGTCCTCAGGACGGCTAGACTTCCTGCCAGAGAGTGCCCTCCTTCGACCCCAATTAGAGAACAAAGCTGGTGACGTTTGTAAGCTCCTCTTATGTCTGCAAAAAATCAGTGCTATCAAACATATGCGATATCAGAAATCAGTACAGAACAAACACTTTTATTATTGTTAGTTGCACGTAAATAACCCTTTCGGGTTGTGCATACTACTTTTGAACCAAACATTTTTTAACAAAAAACTATCTGATCTGATGTGTAAATAAAACATTATTTCATTTCAAGTTTGATATGTGTGATTGAAGACTTCTTCATTTTGTGGTAATTCATGATCACTTTAATGAAATTAATAAAAACACCTTTGTCTAATTACCACTAGTTGATTTTATTTATACGATCGGTTTCGGGTTTGACCCCATTATCAAGTATGAAACTGAGATGTGTAGTTTGAAAACTTGTTTTTATCAGGAGTGAGGACAGGTATTTGATAGACAGAGGTAGTTGGGCGAACCAGGATGCCAACTTTAAAATTCACCTCTGAAATTCTACGGGTTGTTAAACTTATAAATTATATAAATACAAGTTTTCAAACTTCACATCGCAGTTTTATACTTGATAATGGGGGTCAAACCCGTGGTACCAACTAATGGTAATTAGATAAAGGTGTTTTTATTCATGTTCCTGTGGAAGTTCAATTAAATAGTATGTTTGTGTCAATTTTTGTGTTTAACCCTGTATGAAAGTCAATTGAGAGTGTGATTTGTAAATAAAAAGTTGTTGTTGGCGGTACGAAAAATTATCTTCTCATTTTTTTATATCAAACAAAACCAAAGTCTTGACCAATTCCAAAAGTGAAACCAAGTCAGATACATAAGTGGTCCTTCGAGTTTTCAATAAGAAAAATCAACAAGAAAAGTCAAGGTTGGAGACATGGTGATTATAGTCGACATCCAATTCTTGAAAAACACTTGGCCCAAAGGTGTATTGTAGTTACTGCAACATATCCAGGTGCAGATGGCAATGTACGAGTGGTCGATGTAAAAGCAAATATTGGTACATACAGAAGACCTGTTACCAAACTTTGTCTTCTAGATGTTGATAAACATGAAGAAGAGTGATGAATAAGATTTCATCATTGGGAGGGAATGTTTCTGCAGAAGTTTAATTTAAAACGTTTGTTATTGTTAATTTTGTTTATTCAATTTTATAGTATGTATGTGTCAATTTTCCTGTTTAATCTTGCATAAAAGACAATTGAGAGTGTGATTTGTAAATAAAAAGTTGTTGTTGACGGTACAAAAAATTATCTTCTCATTTCTTTATATCACTTTGTGAACAATTCACAAAGTGAAACCAAGTCGGATACAAATTCTATAAATGTTAACAGGCTGAAACTGTCAACAATATTATAGACGGCAATTCTGATTTGAATGAATATACAAAAATGTGTTGGTATAGAAAATCAAACGCGGTTAAATCGATAAAGAATCTGCTAAAGTGTATTGAATATTAAACTGAAAAGACAAACCTGAAATTGAGACGTTTTTCCCAAGGGACTTTTTTGAATTCTGAAAACGGAAAAGAATTGTTTTTCGAAACGATAACATCTGAACGAAATTCAGTTTCATCTCTTCGTGGGAGCCGAAAAATACTCCGAAAAATACTACAGCTTCAAGTTACTAGTTCAAGTTGATAGTTAATAGTGTTAATAGTTCAATTTTTTTAGTTTTTGGCTGTTGCTTGTATTTTCAGTTTTTTTGCTTAATAGGTATGATTGTTATTTTTCAGCTAACCTTTTTAACTTTTTACAGATTCTTTTAGGGAGTTCAAATCAATTTATATCATATTAGTCAAGGGAAGTTTGAACTAATGAAATGCACCATGAAACGTTGTCAACCACCTTCAAATCGAATTGTTCTGTTGCTGTTTCAGCGACCGACCAAATATATTGCTACGAGGAGCGCTCCATATATTTCAACAGAATAAAAAATAGCCAAATGGGCTCATTTAACAATTTTTTTATTTCATAATTTGAAAGTTTATGTTTCAAATAGTACATCTGCAAAAAATCTGAACGTTCACTCTTCATCTTCCCCCTCAAATCAATTATTGAATGTGGCGTTCACCGAAACGGGGCGTGGTCAAGCTTGACGTCACATCAGTCGACTCGGCGACAAGGAAGTGCTGGCGGATAAGCGAAATACGTGTGCTAAAGCCGTAGAAAGCAAGTTGTGTGTTGTTTACTGCAGTGTGTCAACTGCGTGAATATGAATAATGATAAAAAATTACAAGTATTGCATCGTTCCTAAATTTAAGAATTCTTCGGTAACTGCACTAAATAAAATTTTTATTTCACTGTTACGAAAGTTATGGCAGCGCGCAATGCGGAGGACCGACTTTGTATCTGCCAAGGGGACGCATTTTTGATGCGAAGATCATCTTAATGTAAGTATGAATGATAATGATTAATAAAAAAAATTATAGTTTACTTTGAACACTACTTTGAATTTTAGGTTGAAACAGATTTAGAAAATTACATGTATATCAACACTATGAAAGTGAAAAAAATTATCGTATTCCAAAAACACTTTATTGTGAGATTTTCACTAAATTGTTTTACAAAAACGCAACACGTGTTTCGCCATACAATGGCTTCATCTGGCGTGTCTTTCAACTCAAGTTTCAAGTTGAAAGACACATCTCAATATCAATATGAAGAGTAATATCAGTTATTTGAGCGTGATGGTCAGATAGACCTGGATCAAAGTTAATTACTTTGGTTAGTTCAGGGTGACTAGTAACAACAACATCAATACATGAAAAACTAGTTTTGTTATTGATAGTAAAAATTCTAGTGTAATTATCAATCATAGATGACATTCCGAAGGAGCTGAAAGTATCAGTTAGGATTCTCGATTCAATTTTTCTTTCTTTCATATCGATGTTAAGATCTCCACAGAGCATCAAATAGGTGAAAGAGCTGAATGCCTTCGTTAGTAGCTGGGATAGCTGATCATAAAAAAATTTGTAGATCACCGCCTGGTGGCCTATATATATTCACCACGCAACATTTTTTATTGATTGATATTGCAGAGCATTCGATTATATTTTCAATGGAATAATCATTTAAAAATCCTACTGATTCAGAATACGAGACTAGATCATTTCTCACAAATATGATAGAGCCTCCATGTATGTGATGCCGCCTATGAAAGCTACTTACAACGGTATAATTGTGAACCAGTGTTCACAAAAACATAAACATGTTGGGTCATACTGGTATAGTAGTGGTTCAATAAAGTTCAATTTATTCGATAAACACTGGATATTGAGGCTTAGGATACGTACGTTCCTCTTGTAGTTTGAGTTACTACAGTGAGTCATCGAGTCAGTCGGTGCGAGGTGTCGTGTCGGGAATTTGCATTTCGGAAGTAAGAAAAAGATATTTTATATTAATTGTTTTTGACATTTCTGCATCATAATACTGGCAGAAGGTACAGTTTGGTATTTCTACCAATAACTGAACTTTATATTGAAAAAGTAGTTCATTCGCGAAGTGACGTGAAAGTATATTGTTAAAGACAAAGAAACATGACGATACATGTTTCGATCATATATGTGCCTTCATCATTTGTATTGTTAGTGAAACATGTGCCGGTGAATTTTTTTAGTTGAATTTTGATAAAGAAGACTGAAACCAACTTCGAACATGTTGGTCTTGTAGTTTTACCACTTTTTGTCAAAATTCGAATGTAAAAATTTTCACCAACAATGTTTTTTCATCTTTGAAAAAATGAACTTCAGCTTGGCCCATATAGGTAAAAAACTTACCAAACTTTGCGACTGGATATGCTCCATGTGCAACGCGACTTACCTGCAAGAAAAAAAATGAAGGTTAAGTATATTTCAGTTAAATTTAACAAGATAGTCCATCAAACAGCAATACTTGCTTTATAATTAATTATTCAGGTGTATCTCATCTTATTGATGAGATACTATTTCGGAAAATGTTATGTGCAAATCACATCATAAACTGTTATTCAATGACTTTATCTGGGATGTAAACAATTATTTGCCATTTCGAAATGAAGAAAAAATCGAGTATGAGTTCACATGTATTACTTTAAAATGCTATTCACTTCACAAAATTCATTGTAGCAACCTGAAAATGTCTAAGGTAATATAATATGAAAAAACTAGAGGTAGTCACAGTACTTTATTTATTGTATGGTTTGTTTCTTTTAGATGTCTGATTTTTTATCTGATAATACATGTTCTCGGTATCTTATGTCGAAGTTTCTGCCTGTTTGACCTGTATAAGCTGCTGGGCAGTCCCCACATTCTAGTTTGTATATGCCCGATTTTTTCCATTTATCCCTTTTGGGTTGAGTAATATGTTTCGTAATTTATTCTTATTAGAATGTTGGGTTTTGAAAAATAGTTCTTTATATTTTCTGAGAGCTTCCCTGAATAACTTATGCTAGCATATTTCTTACCTTCTCTATGTTCTTCCTGATTTAGGTATAGTTCCTTCATTCCTAGTGGGTTTTGACGCCTCGAAGAGACAGATAAACCAGTTCGTGAACTTCCTTAATACTCTACACGATAAGGTAAAATTTACGGTCGAAATAGAACAAAACAACAGCATCAACTTCCTGGATCTCACTATTACAAAACGCAATGATAAATTTCAGTTCAACATCTATAGAAAAAACTCCTTCACGGACCGTACAATACTGAGGAATTTTTTAGGTAACGTGTTAGGTCAGGTACCTAGAGCAGATACCTGTCCACACTATTTAAGACGCAACTTGACAATTTGTGGTAGTTACTTGAAAATGGCCTTTTAAGCCGGTCGTAACGAATAAATAAACACAGTAGAAACTAGACAAAAGTATTTTCTTCATTCTATATTCAATATCATCATTACCGATTAATAAAAAATAATCACATTTTGTATATGCACTTAGGCGAGATTCATTTCGTATGTAATATTGATTATTGTACAATATGAAATATAATTCATCAGTAAACATACATCTGTTCTTCCAGATATCATCAAGGTTTCGTTGTAGATAGTTGTGTATCTTTCGTATTGGTC